GAACATCACTTTTGATTGAAGATGAACTATGTTTGTCTTTCCATAGCTATATACTTTGATCTTACTACAATATGAAAATCAGTGTGACACTTGATTGCACTCATGTCTTGCATTCTTCTGACATTTCTGGACTGATTAACAGGTCTATTTACAACTGAAGGATAAGTATGTTATGAAGTACTGTAATTTCAGTTCAGATGCAGTTATCTTGTTTTCTTTTGGTGTGAACACTGAACCTCAAGCTAGCTATTAAAGAAAACAAGTTTCTAACTCAGTCAGACATTTAATTCACATGTCTGGCACTAGTAACAAATATCCTGCTGGTGAATTTTGTTTGAATTATGTTTTAGCCACATATTTCTCGAGGCATTTATATGGAGAAAGAAAAGAAAAATAATTTAAAAATAGCAGACCACTACCACTTTTTTGGGTGGAGGGAAGTGTATAAGCAGTTGGGAAGTTTTTTTTATTTCAAAGTATATATTGTTGAGGAACAGTGTGCTTAAGGAAGTTCAAAAAGGATAATGGGAAAGTGTAATTTGGTCTAAAATTGTAATCGGTAAAGAATAAGACAGAAGGTTTCTTGCAAATTACTTGGTATCTGTTTTGTTCAGTTAGAATATCTGACTATGAAGAGCTACTGTGACATTTCATGTACTCTGTACTTTTCAGTATTTGAAGAAGCTTGTCATTGCTCTTTGAATACTTCTTTATTAAAATCAGCTTCTTTTAACTTGATATTCTTTACAAATAGCATCAATAACTTAATAAGGCAAGAAAAATTGAAGGTAAATAGTCCTGAAGATTCAGAATCCTCTATACCAAAAATTATGGCATATATTCGGTAATGTGATTGTGGAAATGTTGGGCTGCACTAAGGAAAAATAATTAATAATGCCTATAATTTAATTAATTTGCTCTTATTTACATCTGATTGATGTAGGTCCAACACCTTGTTTTAAGTACATGCAGGAAGTTATTTATATCACTAGGGCTCGTGAACTGCCTAGTGTTAAGCATGTGCTAAGGTTTTATTGGTCAGTGGGTGAATGAAGCCTCCATTCTCTTTTGAAATTCAGCACACTGGCTTTTTGTGGACCTAGTGCACAAGGGTGAATTTCTGTAAGTAGTTGTACTGATTTGAACTCAACTACTTGCATGTCTAAGGCAAGTATAATTTAGCCACAAAGTTATTAATTGTTGTGAGGAGTGAACCGAAAGAGGCAAGAGATTTTATTGGGAATGAAAAGATGAAGATAACTTTTATTTAAAAAATAAATTGTTCTTTTATAACTACTTTGAGCAAACTGTCCACTAAGCATAATGAACCACAATGACTAACAGCACGTTAAATATTTTTGCTTACATTTTTCATTTAGTTAATGGAGACACCTTTTTTTAATAGGAAACTAGATTGAGCTCAAAAACTATTCTAAATGTAACTTTATCTGTTGGATATTAGTTTGCTTTATCTAGGGAAAAAAAAAAACCAACCTCTTCTGTGTTCAAAGATCACATCAGACAACAAGAAATAGATCTATTATTTATGCTATTAACACTGAAATAGTTTTCTTGAGGTGCAATATTTATTTTTCTGCTTTAAAAAGACACATTTACTGTTTATCCTGCACAGCACAGATGTTTCCAGTAAAAGGAATTTTAAAAGGGCACTATTTTTGTGTATTGTATTTAAATTTGTAATATTGTAAGATTTTGCACAGGTGTGCTGGTATTGTACTGTATAGTATCACATACTTGAGTTTTGAAATAAAAGTATGGTTTCAAAGTCCTCAGTGCTGCTACCTTAAAGGTTTGTTTTTTAAATGCGCTCTGTCTGTATATTAATGGCTCTGTTCTTGTGAAATACATACTGCTTTGTTTATACTGCATAATGTAGTGCCATGTTACACATACCAAAGATCTTGTTCTTAGTCTTTCAGTTCTTCAGGCAAATGATGTAGAGGAAGCAAGCAGACTCCTGTTTCAATGGAGAAAGTGTTTGTAAGCAGGGTCATCCCTGTCATAGCCTAGACACAAGATGAGAGAGGAAACTGGAATATCCTGGAGAGAGTTTAACTCTTGCTTCAGAGGGAGGCTGCCTGTCACTGAGGAGGTTGAACATGGAAAGCCACAAGGAAGATCTGTAACCAACGGAGACTGAGTGAAAGGTCAGGATTCTTTATTTGCTTTGTGTTCTTGTAGGCTTGGGAAGCCTGGGCTTTGTGGAGAGCTGAACTACCAGACCAGCGGGAAGGAGACAATGCTTGAGTTCCACAAAGAACAGAAATGTCACTTCTGGATCTCTGATGGTCTGTATCAGGAAGAAAAAATTTGAGACAGCGACAACCTTGAGAGGAATGACTGTTACCAGGAAAAGACTGATACTTGTATTTTTCAGATAAACTTTTTCTTTTTAACTTGTTTCCTCTGCTGTTGTTCAGGCTCCAAGGTTCCTTTAGAAATGATGGTAGAGAACAGTTGAGTCTATTCTCCCATATCAAAAGTTTTCTGTTTAGCAATCCACATCAGCATTTTAAAACATGAGATGCTGGGAATTTTCCTTATAGGTTACTCTAAGTACTTAAGTCAAATGCTGATTAAACATTCACTACAAGGCTGCTTTTTTTCACTACACAAATTAAGATGAAGACCCACAAACAGTTTAAAGACCTTTTGTACTGTTACAGTCCAGCTAAGTGATCTTCCACACAGTTTTAGAACAGCTGAAATCTAAAAAGGTAGAGACTGACAAAAAACAAAGTTATTTCAGTCTCATTTAACAATTCTGAAATTCTATTCTCCCTCTCCTAATCTGTAGTTTGCTCTTACAAAACCATGTGATGTATTTTTGTTTGCTGTTACAAAGGTGTTTATCTCGCTTTTCCAGTTAAATATCCATAATGTGGACAGTTTGACTAAAGAAACTTTGCCACAGTGAGGATAATAGGCACAAAGTGTTAAAAACTTGGAAGGACAATCAGCATAAAAGTTCTAAATGTCCTCAGAAACCCAACTTTTGGTTAGTTGCCATGGTAGGAAATACTTAGCAGTTCAAGGTAAGCATGGATATATTTTGTTTAATGTTCTCAGTGTTTTACAGCCATAGTCTACTAGTCCAGGAGAGCTACAGAATAACTACTAATATCCACTCCTACATTGTGGATGCAAGTGAAACAACTTAAAACTTGCTTCAGTGAGGGTAAGTCTGATTACAGTACTTCAGATTGCTGTTGTTTTGTAGAGGCAGGTATGTACAGCACAACAAAGGGGTGAATAGAAATTGGAGCAAGGAGTTCGTCTTAGGATCTCAAGGAGCTTTACCAACATCCGGTTCCAAACCACAGCACAAACACAACCCAAGTTTAATTTATTGTTAATGGAGACATCGTATCATTATCCACAGCATTCTCCACTTGGCCCTGTAGATGCCTGTCTGTGTTGCAGTCTGCCCATAACCATGTTATATGCTGCTGTAAGAGCTTTGGCCTGTGCCCAGATAAAAGTTAATACTATCTTAAGTGGCAACTTTCTATAATGCAAAACAGAGTTTAAAAAGGTAGCTACCGTTACACAGGACCAGGAACACAGCCTGAGGATGTAGGACACCTAAAATTTTACTGAATCGCAAACTGAACACAATTTAACAAATTCATCCTATTGCAAAAAAACGCTCATACCATTCTGAGCTGTATAAGCAGGTAAAGTATTTATTAATCAGTACTTGGTATTGGCCAGGCCTCAGCTAGAGAGAAAGAGTGAGCAAGCTGGGGTATCTTATCTGAAAGAAAATGAGAGCAGAGGCATAAGTCTTTAAATACATAAGATTGTTACAAAACATAAGGGAATAAACTGTTTTCCATGTCTGTTTCCAACATGGAAAGAACTGATAGGTTTATGCCATGGTATGGGTAAGTTAGTTTAGACTAGGGAAAAATTTTTAACAGTAATGGACAGTGAAGCACTGGAATAGAGCGTTTGAGGAAATGTTAGGAATTTATCACTGGAAGTCTTTAGGAAAAGGTTAGACAAACATCTGTCAGGAATAACATAA